TAACCCAAAATTAGGAGAAGGGGTCCCATCTCAGGCCACCAAAAACACTTAAAACCCCCAGCCCCAGAATAAAAATGGGTTTTGGTTCCAAAGTCCCTTCTCTGCTGGGACTCTTTCCTTCCTCTATGTGTGTGAGTGTGTGTGTGTGTGTGTGCGCGCGCGCGCGGACGTGCACGCTTCTTCACTTTTATTTAATAAAGTTCATTAACTGTGCCTGCTGTGTCTATGGGTTTTTCTTCCTGCCTTTTAATTTTTTAATTGGTGAAATACAATCAAGACCCCAACCATTTCTCCAGCTGTTCTGTTCGCAGCACATACACCCTAAAGGGACAGTAGCCCACAGTCCTTGCCCTTCTCCATTCCCTTTGGTTGGTACCCTTAGATTACATTCTTAAAGTTAGCCACCTAGGTCTAATTCCCTTATTTGGTCACTTCCTCCTCCTGAGGCTGACCACCAAAGTCCATCATCAGAAGCCCCTTTTGGTTCACTTAATTAACATGCCAAATTAAAATTAAACACCTCGCCGGGCGTTGGTGGCGCACGCCTTTAGTACCAGCACTTGGGAGGCAGAGGCAGGTGGATCTCTGTGAGTTCGAGGCCAGCCTGGTCTACAGAGCGAGTTCCAGGACAGCCTCCAAAACAATACAGAGAAACCCTGTCTCGAAAAACCAAAAAAAAAAAAAAAAAAAAAAAAAAAGATCTCTCTGTGAAAGCGGGTGTTTGGATGTGGTTTTGCCTAATCCAGTGGGGATCTACAATGAGTCCCTGCTGTGCTGGCATCCCCTTTACAATTTACCTCAGGGACTTAAGCTAGTTCCTTTTCACACCTGCCACTGTCCTGGAATAAGGTTAAGTGCCCCTTGTGTTTCTCCACATAAAGAACCCTGACCTGATATTGGTGGCACACATGGTTATGCCAGCACTCAGGGGGCAAAAGCAGGAGATGGATCTCTGTGAGGTCGAGACCAGCCTGGTCTACATAACAAATTCCCAACTAGCCAGGGATGCACAATGAAACCCTGTCTCAACAAAAACAAAGCTAAACAAACAAAAAACAAAAGACTAAAGGAAAACGGAGGCAGGAAGCTTCCGCCCTGAGGAAATAGCAGTGAGAGACCATGTGGAGACAGGGTGAAGTGTGAGAATTAGTAAGGGCTTTGTTAAGTCAGTCAGGAGAATGAATAGCACTCAGATATCAGGAAAGACAAAGGAAAGGGTATATACTGGGTAACTGGGTAGCTTCTTATCAACCTGACACAGACTAGAGTCTTCTGGGAAAGGGGAACCTCAGTTGACAACATGCCCCATCAAATTGGCCAGCAAGCATATCTCTGGTGCATTTTCCTCATTAATGAGTGATGTAGGAGGACCCAGCTCACTGTGGGCGATGCATGCTATCCCTGGACATGTAGGAGGTCCCCAGCACACTAGGCTATGGAGGTTCTGAGTTGTAAAATCAAGTTGCAGCCCAGCATTGATGGCATACGCCTTTAATCCCAGCAGAGGCAGGCATGGATCTCTGTGAGTTTGAGGCCAGCCTGGTCTACAGAGCGAGTTTCAGGACAACCTCCAAAACACTACAGACAAACCCTGGGGCGGGGGGGGGGGGTGACACAAGTTGTAAAAAAAAAAAAAAAACAAATGGCAAGTTGAGGAAGCCATGGGGAACAAGCCAGTAAGCAGCTTCACGGCCTCTGTGTCAGTCAGCTCCTGAGCTGGCTTCGCTTCATGATTGATAGACTCTATGCTGTAAGGTGAAATAAACCCTTTCCTCCTCAAGTTAGTTTTGGTCAGCATTTTACCACAGTAACAGAAAAGCAAACTAGAACAGAAACTTGTACCAGTACTGCAATTGCTGTGACAGACTTGCCCATGTTTTGGGAAGGATTGTAGTAGTGGAACTTTGGTCTAGAAGAGCTGCTGAGTGTTCATCGCTAAATGGGCTGTTCTGTAGGGTCTTGGAAGATAAGATTGCTCAGAGGAATGCTAAAGATGAAGGCCTGGCTTGTGAGCTGCAGAGGGAAGTGTGAAAGTGCCTAAAACAGATGAAATAAACCCTTATTTCCTGCATGGCTGGTTTTTAACCGGACTCAAGCTAAGGCCCTCTGGGAAGAGGGAACCTCAAACTGAGAAAATGCCTCCATTAGATTGCCTGTAGGCAAGTCTGTGGGGCATTTCCTTGATTAAGGATAGATGTGAAGGGTCAAAGCCTGAGGTAGGCTGTGCTTCCTCTGGCCAGGTGGGCCTGGGTTGCCCACCTGGCCAGAGGAAAACAGGCTAAGCAAGTCATGGGGAGCAAGCCAGGAAGCAGCCTCCAGGCCTTCTGCTTCAGTTCCTGCCTCCATTTTCTGCCTCAAGTCCTCTTCCAACTTCCCTTGGTGAGGGAGAGGGACTACAGAATTGTAAGCTGAAACAAACCCCTTCCTCTCCAAGTTGCTTTTAGTCTCGGTGTTTTATTACAGCAACAGAAAGCCCAAGATGCTTTTGTTTAGTGTTTTATAGCAATAGAGAGCAAGCTAGAACTGGGGAGGATTGCAGAAATGCCTGCCCAGGGAAAGCCGTCAGAGAGCAAGCAGTTAATATGGATGAGTTCCATATGCCTCTTGATTTTTAAGTGTCACTAAGAGCACATTCTGGCCGGGCATTGGTGGCGCAAGCCTTTAATCCCAGCACTCGGGAGGCAGAGGCAGGCGGATCTCTGTGAGTTCGAGACCAGCCTGGACTACCAAGCGAGTTCCAGGGCAGCCTCCAAAGCCACAGAGAAACCGTGTCTCGGAAAAAGAAAAAAAGAAAAAAAAAGAGCACATTCTGTATGCCAGAAGGGCCAGGGGAGCAAAGCAAGCCTCCTGGGCTTGGCAAGCACTAACTGGGAAATCTAATGATCTGTCCAGTCAGTTGGGAGGAAGAGTCAGTAAAATCTCTAACAGTGAGAAACTAAGGAGGCCCAGTACCTGAGCCAGAGGCAGTAATAGGTCACTTCCCATAGCCCAGTGAAAGGAAGGGCAAGGAACAGGCCTCTCCCCACCAATATATGTATGTGCATGTATACACATATATGCATTTAGTGTATATATGCATGTATATGTGTATATATAGATATATGTGAACTAGATCACAGACATTTCCTTAGCTTTTCATCCAAGCTTGGGGGGGGCGAGACTAGGCACCAGCATTTCATTTTCTATTTATTTATTTGTTTGTTTGTTTATTTAGAGACAGGGTTTCTCTGTGTAATGGTCCTGACTGTCCTGGAACTCATTTGTAGACCAGGCTGGCCTTGAACTCACAGAGATCCACCTGCCTCTGCCTCCCAGGTGCTGTGAGACAGTGTTACACCTCTATAGTACCCTGAAGGCCCACAGAATATCCTAATGTCCCATTGTCATTCAAAAACCTTAAAACCACTGGTGCTAGCCAGACAATGGTGGAGCACACCTTTAGTGCCAGCACTTGGTTCTCACTGCACCCTCCAACCTACCCCATCTGCAGCCCACCTATGCTCTAGAAGCAGTGCTAGAACACCTAACAGCCTATACAGGTCCACGGGGAAGGAAAGCCGGGTCAAAAGTGAAGTATGGCACCTTTGGAAGGTGTGCAGGTCGATTATAAAACCTGGTAAGTGGAAGAAAATAGAGGCAACCCCTCCCCAATATTAGGAAGTTCTCAGACATTGTCTTCACAGTTCTAACCTAGCTCAGAGAGAACTTAGGCACCAGTATTTTCTAGGTTCTTCAACCACTAACAACTTTCAAGGTGTGACAGAATTGTGACCTTTTCTATCCTCACCACCCCAGAACCCCCATGCTACCCTCACCCTCCATCCCCAGCCACATCCTCCTATCTCCCTCCACCCCACCCCAATCCTCCTCTCTGTGTCCCTCAAGCACTACTTCAAAATCAAATGTTAAGACAAGGTAAGGTTAGGATAGGTGGTTTCATTTAGTTTGGTTTGGAAGAAGGATTGTAGAAGCAAACCTCCACACATACCCCAACAAAAAGAAAAATAGGTCGTGTTTTCTTTGTGCTTCCAATCTAGCTGAGGGAGAGTAAGTGTCCGTGTTTTCTGGGCTCCCCGGTGAATGTGAGCCTTTAGGATGCTTTAGGACTGCCTTCTTCAGTCATGTATTCCCCAGTTGGCCCCATCGCACACAATTGAGTCCCCACCCCGCCATCGGTGCTCTCCTAGTGCTGCACAGGATGATAATGGTCTGTACTGTATGTAGGTTTGGATGGAAAGTCAACCTCCCCGGTGAAGGCTTCGTGCTTTTATAAGGTAAAAACTAGTACCTGACTGACCCAGTGAAGGAAAGAGTATAGGTCCAAGCCCTCTTCTTGTTTTGTGCATCCATTCTAGCTGAAGGAGAATCTAAGAGCCAGTATTTTCTAGGAATTCCAGTGAGGATGGGACTTTCAGATACTCTGGAGTTGGGACAGTCTCTCTCCTCAAACTCCCAACCTCCCCTGTATCCAGCTCCCTGAAGCCAGATGACCAAGAGCCCGCCTTCTGGGCTCCACAATTCCTACTGGGAAGTCTAAAGATCTGCACAGGTCTCTGGGAAGGAGAGTCACGTTCCACAGTGAGGCCTGATGACCTTTACAAAGTGGGGTTTTCCACTAACTGACCCAATACAAGGAAAAGCTGAGGAGCAACTGACCAGCACAAAATAGTAACTAGAAAGTAGCATGGTAGTGCACTCCATTAATGACAGTACTCAGAGAGGCCAAAGGCAGAAGGATGGATCTCTGTGAGTTCGGGGCCAGCCTACTCCATACATCAGTTCCAGGTAGGCGGGGCTACATACTGAGAGTTTGTCTCAAGAAAAGAATATGTAGAGCACAGATTCTTTTAGTGCTTCTAGAGTAGCTGAAGGAAAATCTATGTGCTGTTTGGTGTTTTGTAGCATCGTCCCAATGAGGGTAGGGATGAGGCAGAAGCCTGGTACAAGGGTGTGACAATCTCATCTGACATCACACTGCCCCCCTCCAGCATACCATCTCAACTTCCGGTCCCCCAGACCTGGGTGCCACCACGCACCACACCGCACTCTCCGGTTCATTCCCCCCACCTTCGGTCCTCTGAAAGTATTGCTTGGAAATCTGAGGATCAGTGCAGATCAACTGGAAGAATCGAGTCAAATTCTGCAGTGAGGTGTTGCTGGTTTTGTAAGGTAGGGGGTTCAATATTTGATTCACTAAAAGGAAGAACACAGGACAGCCCACAGGACAGCGCTAACTAGATGAGCCCTTTTCTTGCCACTTGCAAGCAAGCTGAGGAGAACCCTAGCAGCAAGTGTGTTCTAAGCCCTCTAATGAGGAAGCACCGTTAGGGCAGGTGCTACCAAAGTGCGCTATTCTCTGGTTCCCGACCTACCTCTCCACCCATCACCACCATTATCTTACCCGCTGCCCCACACAACCCTGCAGCTCCTGCCACCAGCCCGACCCATTATGGAGCTCATTCCTGCCTCATGCCCACTGCTCACGAGACCCACCCACCCACACCTTCCGTGCCCCTCAAGTACTGCTGGGAACACAAACATTCTGTGTCAGTTGGTTGATAAGGCAAGTCCAGCCTCTGTAAGGTAGGAAAGTTTCAGTATCTGATACCTTCAAAGGAAGGGTATAAGAGGGCCTCCTCTGTGCCCCCCCCTGCTCCCACCCCCCGCATCAGCTAAATCTCAGATATTCTCTTAGTGTTTCCTACCCCCACTAAGAGAGAACCCAGACGCCAGGTTTTTTGTGCCCTCAGAGGATAGGGATAAGGGGTACCACAGACAGCGACCTTCTCTCATCCTACACCTCCACAAGCTTCCTGCCTGCTCCCTGCCTGCTCACCTCCCATGGTCCAGTACCCAGCCATGGTACCCTCCCAACACCACAGCTGGTTGACCTGTCCTCCTGTTCTATACAAGAAGTGCCGCCGGGGGAAAGCAAGCTCCACGGTGGTGGGTTGGCGGTGAGTTGGGGGTGGAAGCTCTGTACCTGACCCAGTAAAAGGAAGCATGTAGGACCTACCACCTCACCCCAATACTAACTAGATCACCGAGCTTTTCTTAATGCTTCACCCTAGCTAAAGGAAAACTTAGATGCCAGCATTTTTTCTAGGACCTCGACGGAGGGTAGGCCTTTCGGATACCATGGAAGTGTGACATTCTCTGCTTCTACCTAGTCCCAACACACTGGGCTTTCTGGCCCTGGGTCCTGGCCCTCTTACTTGGGCCCCACCCAAGCCCCACCCTCCACCTCATCACAAACACATTTGAGAGGTTATGATGCAAACTTGAAGCACTACCCAAATCCTCAGGCCTTCATTCATAGCAGCCACCTAGACTTGGCTGCCAGCTCCTCCACCAGGTCTCCCCCAATCCTCTACCCCAAAACAGGAACCTAATCCCACAACCATGTCTGAAGAGCAAACCCCCCAGACATCTGAAGCAGAACGTAGCACAATGGATTTCCCAGAATTTGAAGATGAAGAACGCTGGTTTTTCAAAGGTAATTTTCGCTTCCTAAAGGATGGAAGTGGCCCTTCTGGGCCTGAGCTCAGAATTTCTTTCAAATTCCCCAGGAGCAAAAGGAAACCATCTCCTATCTCCCCAGTTTTTTTTTCTCATGCTACCTCTCCCCTGATTTCTAAGTAATGTCATCCTAGGATCCTTAGTTTTGTATAAAACTATCAAACTAAATCAGGGATTCCCTTTGACTGGAGGCAACCAGAATGATGAACAACACAATCTTTTATGGACGAACTGATCAGCATTACATACTAAATCATGTGGAACCACAGTTGGAGACTTTTGGAGAGGAGCGCCCTTACCTACATTAGAATGTCCCAGTGTAAACTGGTAGCTGCCATCCCCTTCCTACTTTCTCCTAGAATGTGGGTCATCTGGCAGTGCTCCCCGATCAAATTGAGGGACCCATTCAACAACAACAAAAGCCCTATAAACAGACATTTAACATATACTTTGGATTCACTTTTTCACCTTAATAAAGTGAGCTGGACCTGGGCGGTAGTGGTAGTCTAGCATTCGGGAGGCAGAGTCAGGCGTGGATCTCTGAGTTTGAGGCCAGCCTGGTCTACAGATCGAGTTTCAGGACAGCCACGGCTACACAGAGAAACCCTGTATTGAAAAAAACAAAACCAAATAAGCAAGATGTGATGGCACACACTTTGAATCCCAGCATGTGGAAGGTAGAGGCAGGTGATCTCTGTGGGTCTGAGGCTAGCCTGGTCTACATAGAGAGCTCCAGGCCAGCTAGAGCTACACTAATGAGACTTCCTCAAAAAAAAAAAAAAAACAATAAAGTGACTTAACCTTCTGATGTAACAGGCTCACCTGCACACTCTTGTTTCTGTATCTTCTAGAAAACACAATGATAAACGTGGAGATATCTTCAAAGTACTTTGACTTTTGAAGTATTAAATAGGAGTTTTATTTGCATTTGGGTGTGTGTGTTTGTTTGTTTTTTTCTTTTTCTTTTTTTCCTTTTTTTTTTTTTTAGTTTTACAAGACAGGGTTTCCCCGTGTCTTTGGAGGCTGTCCTGGAACTCACTATGAAGACCAGGCTGGCTTCGAACTGGCGGAGATCCGCCTGCCTCTGCCTCCCAGGAGCTGGGATTAAAGGCGTGCGCCACCAACGCCGGGAGTGTGTGTGTGTGTGTGTGTGTGTGTGTGTGTGTATGTGTGTGTGTGTGTGTGTGTGTGTGTGTTTTAATCCTCATTTTGCCTTTTTTTTTCTTGTTTCATTCATAGTGTTGGGAATCAAGCCAAGGCCCTCCTTAGTACTTGGTAAGTATTCCCTAAGCACATCCTGGTACTTTTGGTTGTTTTGTTGTTGTTGCTGTTGTCATCATGATTTTGGTTTGGTTTTGTTTTGCCAGTTTAAGCTTTTTATTTAACAAACTGTTAAGCCCTCATAGGAATGAGGCAGCAGCTCACATTCGTTCCTGTTAGCTCTCACAAAAGTGCTTCTCTGGGTGGAACCCTTCAGATGACATCAGGTACCTACCTCTCTGCTCAGCACCCCCCCTTTTCAGCTCATTTTCCTTCATCTGTGTCAAGAAACTAACTTGATTCTTAAAGTAATAAACATGCTCAATACACTCATTAATTTAGGTGCCAAAGAATTTTTGCAAGTTTACTCAGAGTCAAAAGAACAAATGAAAATAATGTTTTTCTTGGTATATATGAATACAAATTTTAAAGATTTTTTTGTCTTTATTTTTTGTCTTATTTTGTTTTTTTTGTTATTTCATTTATGAATACAAATTTTAAAACACTAAAGTAGTGAAGGACAAATTTTTAAAAATATTTTGTCTTCTTTTATATCCTTGGCAGTTTAAAGGGTCCAATAGTACTACAAGTCCCAATCCCAAAATTGGTATTGTTACTACCTCTCCTCCAATTATTCAATAGGCTGTTAATAAAATATCTGCTGTGTTTGGGTTTGGCAATGTTATTCCACATGTTAGGGTCTCTTGTCCCAAGCAGTTTAAGCCCAAGAGGACTTCCAAGCCAATTCCTCCCCTTCCTACCACCTTTTGCTTTATATCTGCATTTTCACACTTTATTTTTCATTACAGATAATGGTACCAACAAAAAGCAGGAAGATGAATCACTGGGGTAAGTTGTGCAACATTTTATTCACATTAACAATTGTCATCTTTGGCCGGGTGTTGGTGGCACACGCCTTTAATCCCAGCACTCGGGAGGCAGAGGCAGGCGGATCTCTGTGAGTTCGAGGCCAGCCTGGTCTACAAAGTGAGTTCCAGGACAGCCTCCAAAGCTACAGAGAAACCCTGTCTCAAAAAACCAAAAAAACAAAACAAAACAAAACAAAACAATTGTCATCTTTGTGTGTGTTGGCAGCTGATTTCAACTCAAGTGAACAAGAAGTACACCCCAGACTACCTTCTTACATGATTTGATGAGCAGTACATAAATGTACACTTCCATGGGACATTCTAGATCAGTAGTGGGAAATCACCATACTTTTCCTAAGAGAAAAGAACCTTTGGTTTTATCACTGATTGAAACTGGTAACATGCTATGTCTTTTTTTTTCCCTCAATATATGTTTTTATTTAAATTAAAAACATGCATGCTTCACATGTCAATCCCAGCTCCCTCTCCCACACCTCCTCCCTTGTCCCTCCACCACCCCTCCAGCCCCCCCACCCCATCCCCACATCATTCCACAGGGAGGGTGAGGCCCTCCTTGGGGGCATCTCTAAAGTCTGTCATTTCATCCAGGGCAGGACCTAGGCCCTCCCCCATGTGTCCATGCTGAGAGAGCATCCCTCTATGTGGAATGGGGATGTCTTTTTTTTTTTTAACAGTGCTACTGTAATAGGACAGAAAAGCTTTCTTTGGATTTTAATGTTTCATGGGGTTCTGAAGCCCTCATTATGAACATGGTAGAGAGCAATTTCTCTTTTGTACTCGGTTTTCAGTGGGGATCCTTCCAAGGCCAGGTGCACTCCAGTTGCTAAGGCTAGTGAATGAGGTACAGTGTCTCAGAGAACTGCTAAGTGAATTCCCAGAAACTCAAGGAGGAAACAGTTTAGATGTAGCTTAGTCTCAGAGACTATTTAGTGATGAGAGCAGAGGGTGGGAGGAGAACAGCCACACCTACTTGCAGAAGCATGGATTGACCTGCCTAGAGAAGCACACATTCTCCATTGCACATAGTCTAGGGTCATGATCTCAACATAGTTCTAACGCCAATGACCACTGACAAATCTGTTTCTGCTAGGAATATTGGCAATCAAACTTAGGCTAGTAATTGTGACCTGAACCCAAAACAAGAACAAACTGGATAAAAACCCCAAACTGAAGCTTTTTAAAATGTAACCCATAAGGAAAACCAAAGTGGACAGCAAAATACATAAATCAAGTGAACCAGTTAAAACCACAACAATATTTGGGTCAATTAAACTAGAACCAAGCACAGTCAAAACAGATGTATCTCACTATTTCAGTTTCTTTTTTTTTTTTTTTTTTTTGGTTTTTTGGTTTTCAGGGTTTCTCTGTGGCTTTGGAGGCTGTCCTGGAACTCGCTTGGTAGTCCAGGCTGGTCTCGAACTCACAGAGATCCGCCTGCCTCTGCCTCCCGAGTGCTGGGATTAAAGGCATGCACCACCAACGCCAGGCTACTATTTCAGTTTCTTAATCTATAAAATAAAAAAGTTGATCTAGATGACACCCTTCAGCCTCAATATCCTGTCCAGTGTATTTTCTGAATTCATAGTTATTCAGTCATTTGGTTTTAGCCCCAGATTGTACTTTAGTTTTAATGCTTGGGTTTCTTAATTGAATGTAATCTGGTGTTGAGGTGAAAAACTCTCCAGTATGTTGACTATTGTGATATTTTTGTCTGTAGCCACACTGAGTCATTTCTTCACCTGCAAGGTATTCTTCAAGAGAATAAGATCAACAGTACGGATGACAGCTACACTTGCCAAGCTGTAAGTGAACATCAAATGGCAAGGGGGGGTGGATTCTATTTTGGGGGAGGTTGGGTTTTTTCTTTGTCTTTTTTTTTTCAGTTTTTCAAGACAGGGTTTCTCTGTGGCTTTGGAGACTGTCCTAGAACTCACTCTGTAGACCAGGCTGGCCTTAAACTCACAGAGATCTGCCTGCCTCTGCCTCTAGAGTGCTGGGATTAAAGGTGTGCGCCACCACCCAGCTTTTGGGGGGGGTTGATTCTAAACATGCTAGAATAGATATGGTGTTAGAATAATGATGTCCACTGAAAACTGAACCACACTGTGAATGTATTTAACTCATTAGTTAATTATGGTCAAGGTCACTGAAATATTCTAGAACCAACTCAAATCCCATCAGGGTATCTGGTGCTTTCATTAATGTGAACAGTATACCATTATAAGAACACTGTGCCCAAGGCCCATTTCCTCAAAAGTTATCAAGGTACCCACTTAATGATGTTGATGTGGCAGAGGGGCAGTGGTCAGGTTTTAAGGTACAAATGTTTACTAAACTTGATCCTAACTTTATTTTCATCATTTAAGACTATCAACTATAGGAAACAGTAAGTCAAAAGTCCTCCTTTGATGGCCAAAAGTTCTGTCTACTTCATTTTGACATTCCCCTGCATCTTTATCACTCCATAGGCATGTACTGAAGAGGATGATGAGACCAACCACAGTGACAGCGATATGGACGATAATGTGAAAGTGATCATTGGCAACATAAAAACAAACCCTTCCATGTATATGTATGTAACATTAACTGTCCTTGGGTTATGGGACATCCAGGGAGGAGAAATATAATGGGAGTTGCCTCTTCATTAACTGTTCATAACCTTATCCTTGGTATCAGCTAGAAATGTAGGAATGTGATGAAGTCTGTAGTGATAACTTTCCCTACACCAGTCACAATATGCTCTAGCTACTTTTATAGAGAACATTGTTTTCACTTCCTCTGTTTTTCTTTGTCTTTCTTTTTTGTTTTTGTTTTTTTCTTTTTGGTTTTTCGAGACAGGGTTTTCTCTGTGTAGCTTTGGAGCCTATCCTGGCACTCACTTGGTAGACCAGGCTGGCCTCGAACTCACAAAGATCCACCTGCCTCTGCCTCCCGAGTGCTGGGACTAAAGGCATGCGCCACCAACGCCGGCACCACTTCCTCTGTTTTATGAACCTTTTCTTACAGACAATTTTGCCTTTGTGAGCATGGTTGTCTGCTGTAGGAAATCAGAGAGTTCAGTGGGTAAAAGAGCTCCTAAAGCAGCATCCTAGAAATCTTTCATGCTTTGTTCTCTTAGTACTGTTTTTTTTTTTTTTTTTTGCAAAGTGCTAGTGGAGGCACACATTTGATATCCCACTTTTTCCTTTAAAATGGAGAAATAGGTGAGATAGTGCACACTTTAATCCCAGCACCTGGGAGGCAGTAGCAGGAGAATCTCTGTGGGTTCTAAGCCAACCTGATTTATACAGTAGCTTGGTTTGCCTCAGCCTCCCTGAGCACTAGCTGGCCTTGAGCTCCAGTCAGCCCTGCTCCACCTCTCCAGTGCTGGGACTGCAGTTTGTCACCACATTCAGATTTCTTTCTGGAGAGCTTTTGTAGAGCCTGATGTACAGAGTGCCTTCCAGGACAGTTGGGGCTACATAGCCCATCTCAAAGAAGGTGGGGGGATAGCCTGCCTGCTTTTTGCCTGGATAATTGTTCAAACTCCCCACCCCCAACTCATTTTCAGGAAGACCAGTAGTAGCTCTAATGAAACCTCCAGTCCTTTCTTTAGTCTTTTCTGTTATACATATCAGTGAGTTAGAAAAATGCAAATTTCGCCGGGCATTGGTGGCACACGCCTTTAATCCCAGCACTCGGGAGGCAGAGGCAGGCGGATCTCTGTGAGTTCGAGGCCAGCCTGGTCTACGGAGTGAGTTCCAGGACAGCCTCCAAAGCCACAGAGAAACCCTGTCTCGAAAAACTAAAAAAAAAAAAAAAAATCACTTTCTAAGCCGGGTGTTGTGTTGGTGGCGCACACCTTTAATCCCAGCACTCGGGAGGCAGAGACGGGTGGATCTCTGTGAGTTCGAGGCCAGTCTGGTCTGCAAAGCGAGTTCCAGGACAGCTTCCAAGACAATACAGAGAAACCCTGTCTCAAAAAACAAAAAAAAAACAAAAAACAAAAAAAGAAAGAAAAGAAAAATGTAAATTTCACAACCCCATTCCTTTTGGTAAGAAGGCAACCTTTCTTAGTTCCAATATGAATGGGCCGTACATATGTTTATGTGTGTGCCTGAATGACTCTTGTGTCTCTCCAAAGGGTTGGTGCCAGCCTATTGGCAATCAATTTCACTTTCTCTATTCTAGGGAAATGCTCAATAATCTGAACTTGAAAGCTGAGCAAGATGAGGAAAGAACTGCATCAGGTATCTGTCTTGTCCTTTGGATTCTTATGTACTGCGTCCTTGTAGCCTGATAACCATACAAGGAAAACACTTACATTCATAAAAAATAAAACTAAAAATACTTTTTTTTTTTGGTTTTTCGAGACAGGGTTTCTCTGTGGCTTTGGAGGCTGTCCTGGAACTCGCTTGGTAGTCCAGGCTGGTCTCGAACTCACAGCTTGGTAGTCCAGGCTGGTCTCGAACTCACAGAGATCCGCCTGCCTCTGCCTCCCGAGTGCTGGGATTAAAGGCGTGCGCCACCAACACCCGGCTCTAAAAATACTTTTAAAAAACTAAAGACATTGCAAGCCAGGTGGAGTGGTGCATGTCTTTAAGCCCAGCACTCCAGTACTCAGAAAGTCAGGCAGGTAGGTATCTGTGAGTTCAAGGCCAGCCTGGTCTACAGAGCAAATACCAGGACAGCTAGGACTACATAGTAAAACCCTACCTAAACACTAAATAAATAAAAAACTAAGACAGTCAAAGGATAATCAGGATGTAGCCCACTTGGTAAAATACTCCTTGCATGCATGAAGCCCTTAGTTCCATTCCTCAGCACTGTAGAAGCAGAGCATGATGTAACCCCAGCATTTGGAATATAGAAAGCACCCTACCTCATTCCAAGGATAACCTAGGCAAGCAAGGAACATCTAGGGTAAGGAAGAGGTTCAAGCAGTCACTATTCCAGGCTTCACACTATGCCTTGACCACAGGGGATGACTCCAAGCTCAGGGACTGTCCCTGGTAGTATAGTTCCTTTCTCACTCAGACATCTCCAGAAAAGTACCCCTTCTCTCCCCTGTATTAACCAAGTCCAAGGCGCTAGAATTTGGGCAAGGAGGAGCCCCTGTAGGCTGGTCCAGCTAAGATTCCCGGAGAGCAGGTGAATTTCTTCACCAGAAGGGACTGGGTTGGGGGTAGTAGTTATCAACAGAAAGAGAACTGGAAGGAACTGGGAGCATCTAAGGCAGTTCAAGTTTGGAGGGTCTTGGCAGACATGTTCAGACCCCACTAAGCTGCATTGTTATCCAGATCCTGAAACCGGAAAACCCTGAGGCATTATAATCATAAAAGGAATTCACAACAGGGAGGTAGGCTCTAAGGAAGGGCTGAGCAGAACCTTACTATTTCTTTTTTGTTTTGGTTTGGTTTTGTTTTTTGTTTTTTGTTTTTCGAGACAGGGTTTCTCTGTGGCTTTGGAGGCTGTCCTGGAACTCGCTTGGTAGTCCAGGCTGGTCTCGAACTCACAGAGATCCGCCTGCCTCTGCTTCCCGAGTGCTGGGATTAAAGGCGTGCTCCACCAATGCCCGGCTAGAACCTTACTATTTCAACCCCTAACCAGTCATGCTCCTAAGAGCCCACCTCTTAGGCTCTGGCTTCCAGAACAACTGAGTTCTGAGTATACAGATTAGACCCACTGACCCCCACACATACTCTGTGTTCTTACTGAACAGAATGGAGGGAAAAGGAAATGGTATCGCCTATAAAGAGCTACAACCATGATGCCCCAAGTTTGGTCCCCGGCACCAGAGTCAAGTTGCTTACAATCACCTATAATTCCAGCTCCAGAGGACCCTCCTCCCCTGGCCTCCTCTGTAAGCACTAACACTCCTGCATGTATACCCACACAGAGACATATAACTTTTATCATCTAAGCCTGAAATTTGTTAATTAAATCAATGTGACTTCTCTGTCATAAGTTTGTCTTTTTTTTTTTTTTTTTGGTTTTACGAGACAGAGTTTCTCTGTATTGTTTTGGAGGCTGTCGGTCCAGCAGCCTGGCCTCCAACTCACAGAGATCCACCTGCCTCTGCCTCCCGAGTGCTGGGATTAAAGGCGTGAACCACCACCGCCCGGCATAAGTTTGTCTTAAAAGCTGAAGTTACACATTACACAAAGGGAAAAGTTGTCTCTTTTTTCTCGAGACAGAGTTTCTCTGTGTAGCTCTGGCTGTCCTGGGACTCATTCTATAGACCAGGCTATCCTCACAAAGATCCTTCTGCCTCTGCCTCCCAAGTGCTGAGATTAAGGCGTGTGCCACCATTGCACAGCAGGAAAAAGATTTTAAAGTTCCTGTAGTGTCTTCATTCCCTCATAACATCAAAACTACAGTTTATAAGGCAACGTCTATAGGTGAAGAAGGAAACAGACACTTAAATGTTTAACATTTCATGTGTTGGCGTGTGTACACAAGTGCATGTTTACACACAGGTTTGATGGCAAACACCTTTATCAGCACCGCATGACACATTTTCATTTAGGCATCTTATACAACTGAAATACTGATTTTTGCCTTTTAATCATCTGGACAGTGGTGGCACACACTTTTAATCCCAGCACTCAGAAGGCAGAAGCAAGCAGATCTCTATGAGTTCCAGGTCAGCCTGTTCTACAGAACAAGTTCCAGGACAGTCAGGACTGTTACACAAAGAAACCCTGTCTCAAAAAACTGGGGGAGGGGGAGGGTGGAGGTGGGGAGAGAATCAGCAAGAGTTGATAGTCCTTGGTAGACCCCTTCTAAAGATGTACACAAGGGAAGCATTACTGGAAAATAGAAAATAACTGAAATCCTTTCTTCCACAGATAATGCCATGAATCCAACTGAATAAATGAGGATCGGAAACACCTACCCTCATGCATAAATGCAGTTGTAATGAAAAAAAAAACCAAACTTGTTTTTAAAGACAATGGCACCATCTCTACCCACCTACCTGAAAGCAAATCCATACCAAACTACTGAAACAAATGGAAAATACTTCATTTGAGACCAGCTGTAAATTGGGAAGCTCTATTGAGTCTTGAATATTTCACCTTGAAAAATTACCCCCAAACAACCTAAAACCATCTACACTCCACAGTGAACCAACTACGAAAGTTTGTTGCCCATTGTCAAATAAAATGTTCTCTGTGTTGAAACCTTTGAGTTCCTGTGTGATGGCTTCTTAGCCATTGCTGCTTCCTTGCCATGCTAGTTGCCTCATTTTTCCCCTCCCTCCCTCCCTCCCTCCCTCTCTCTCTCTCTTTCTTCCCTCTCCCACCCCATTTTGTTTTTTGAGACAAGGTTTCTGTGTAAGGGAACCTTGGCTGTTCCAGAACTCGCTCTATAGACCACGTTGGCCTTGTCTGCCTCTACCTCCCAAGGACTGGTATTAAAGGAATGTGCCACCATACCTGGTTTATTTGCAAGCTATTTATTTATTTATTTATTTATTTATTTTGGAGACAGGGTTTCTCTGTAACAGTCCTTGCTGTACTGGAACTTTGTAGACCAGGCTGGCCTCAAACTCACTGAGATCCACCTGCCTCTATCTCCCAAGTTCTGGGATTAAAGGCATGTATCACTACAGCCCTGCTGTAAGTTCTTTATAATAAAGTTTTTTTCTGAGAAAAAATTTTATTGACTTTTAATAAAATTCATTTGCCAGGAAGGATGATCCCATCATACTTCTGCTGGAACCAGCACATAGCCTCTTCTTTGCTGATTCTGTCTGTCCTGGGCTTCATGTCTGCAATGCTGAAACCTGGCCTACCCAGCACCACATAGAAGTCCAGGCCACAGATCCCAATGTTTGGGTCATATTTGATGCCCAGATCAATGTGTTCTTGAATACCAAAGCCAAAGTTTCCAGTATCTGAGAAATTATTTTTCCATAATTCATACTCCCACACCTTCAGGCCTTTCTCCAGAATTTCTTCTGCCTTGGCTCCACAAACAGTGCAGTGAACAGTGATCTTTTCATTTCTCCTGGTGCCAAAAGACCTGACAGTGTATCTGGCTTTGGAAAATACAGGTGTCTGGCCTGTGAGCTGCTCCAACATCTTGGCTGCCCTGGTCATTCTGTCTCTACTCTCCCAAAACAGATATTGAGGCAGAGCTTGCAGATGTGAAGTTGCTACATGGGCTTCTCCTTTTCACCCTGATCTTGCAGCATTATGGGGAACCTTGATAGTCCTTGGTAGACCCCTTCTGAAGATGTACACTGCCGCCCAGCAAGAAGTAACATTTTTTAAATGAAGCTCCCAGGTATGGTGGTGGTAAAGAAGATGAATCTTTCTGAGTGCCAGGCCAGCTAAGGCTTTATACTGAGATCCATGCCTTGAAAATGAGTCAAACAAAAATTAATACATAAACAAATAAATAAAAATACACAAATGAATAGCAGATGAAGAACATGCCTTTGGAAGCCCACAGAATGGGAAAAGATATTCACTAACCCCATGTTTGACAGAGGGCTGATCTCCAAAGAGCTCAAGAAGCAAGTCTCCAAACACCAAAGGATCCAATTAAAAAGTGGGGTACAGAACTGAATAGAGAATTCTCAATAGAGGAGTCTAAAATGGCTGAGAGACACTTGAGAAAGTGCTCAACATCCTTAACCATCAGGGAAATGCAAATCAAAACAACTCTGAGATACCATCTCACTCCTGTCAGAATGGCTAAAATCAAAAACACCAATGACAGTTTATGCTGGAGAGATTATGGTGAAAGGGGAACACTCCTCCATTGCTGGTGGGAGTGCCAACTGGTTCAGCCACTTTGGAAATCAGTATGGAGATTCCTCAGAAAAATGGGAATCAGTCTACCACAAGACCCAGCAACTCCACTCTTAGGCATATATCCAAAAGATGCCCATTCACACAACAAGGACGTCTGTTCCACTATGTTCATAGTAGCATTATTTGTAATAGCCAGAACCTGGAAGCAACCTAGATACCCCTAAATTGAAGAGTGGATAGAGAAAAATGCTGGTGCATTTACACAGTGGTGTACTATTCAGTGGGGAAAAAAATGGAATCTTGAAATTTGCAGGCAAATGGACAGCACCAGAAGAAACCATCCTGAGTGAGGTAACACAGTCACAAAAAGACCAACATGGTATGTACTCACTCATATATGGATTTTAGAAATGACTCAGGGAATACCAGACTACAATCCCACCATCAGAGAGTCTGGGAATCAGGTAGGACCCTAAGGTTCTAAGAGGGATATGCATGGTACCCCAGAGAAGAGGAATGAGGCAAGATCTCCTGAACAGATTGGGAACATGGCGAGAGGTGTGGGGGGGAGCTGGGAAGAAGAGAGGGGGAGAAGAGGAAGAGAGAGTAGGTCATGGGGGAACAGGAAGGTTGAGTGGGGGGTAGAATAGGGGGAGAACAGGATGAAAAATACCATAAAAGAGGGAGTCATGGGTTAGAAGACAGATCTGGTACCAGTGAGACCTCTAGTGATCTAAAGGGATGGCACCAACTGGCAATCTAAGCAATAGTGGAGAGACTACCTTAAATGCCCTTCCCCCAATAATGAGATTAACAACTACCTTATATGCCATCATAGAGCCTTCATCCAGTGACAGACAGAAGCAGAGGCAGACACCCACAGCTAAACATTGAACTGAACTCCTGGAACCCAGTGACAGAGAGAGAGAGGAATGATGAGCAGAGGGGTCTAGAACTGGCTGGTGAAACCCACAGAAACAGCTGACCTGAACAAGGGAGACCACACCCCCTGAATGTGGGTGTCAGCGAGGAGGCCTGGACAATCTGTGGGGCCTTGGGGGGTGGATTGGTGTTTGTCCCACAGTCAGGGATGTTCCCTCAGCCTGATCTCTTGGGGAAGGACTTGGGCCCTGCCCTGGACGAAATGGCAGACTCTGGGGATCCCCCACGGATGGTCTCACCCTCCCTGAGTAATGGAGTAGGGATTGGGTGGGAGCCTGGGGGAGTTGGTGGGAGGGCATGGGAGGAGGGGAGGGAGAGGGAGCTGGAATTGACACGTGAAGCAAGCTTGAAATAAAAAAAAATGACACCCCCCCAAAAAAGAACATGCCTTTGAAAGATTAAAAAAAAGAGGGCCGGAGAGATGACTCGGTGGTTAAGAGCACTGGTTGCTCTTCCAGAGGACCCGGGTTCAATTCCCAGCATCCACATGGCAGCTCACAACCATCTGCAACACCAAGATCTGACACTCTCACACAGACATACATGCAGGCAAAACACCAATGCACATTAAATAAATAAATACATAGACAAATAAATAAATAGATAGATAAATAAATAAGAAAGATCCAGTCATGGTGGTGCCTACCTTTATTTCCAGCACTCAGGAGGCAGAGGCAGGTGAATCTCTGAATTCGAGGCAGGTCTGCTCTATAGGGCGAATTGCAGGCCAGCCAGGGCTACACAGAAAAACCATGTCTCAAAATAGTCTGGAGATAATTGCCCTGACTAGAATATTTAATATTATTAAAATGTTTGTACTGCTCAAAGTGATCTCAATCATACCTATTGCATGAAATAGCAAAAACAATTATAAAAATGCATATGGATGCCTAAAGGCCCATGAACAGCCAAAACAATCCTGAAAAGAAACAAAGATGAAGGTATCACACTTCCTGATTTCAAAATACATTAACACTATTTAAAAAAATATGGTGCTGTTATAAGTCTAAACTTTCACTAGTGGAGCAGAAACACTGGAAACAATGCTATTCATATACAGTCAGCTGACCCTTAATTGGGACTCCATCACACATTCAAAATTGTGTTAAGGGAGCCAGAGACTGTGTTAAATATTCTTACTACATTAAAATAAACCCAGGTAGGTAAACTTTCTGAAGGTCTAAATCTGCTCAGCCAAGAGTACTGGAAAAGTTGGATGTCTATATGCAAAAGAATTAAAATGTACCCATGTCTTACACTGAATTACACCAAACAAACCAAAAAAAAAACCCCAGCTCAAATGTCAGTCTGGCATGGTTGTATACACCTGTAATCTTGGCATTTGAGAGGTAGAGGCAGGAAGAACAGGAGTTCAAGGTCAGGTTTTGCTACATAGCAAGTTTGGGGTCAGCCTGGCTTACATGAGACCCTGTCTCAAACAAACAAAACCCAGGGTTGCCAAGATGGCTCAGTGAGGGAAGATACCTGCTGCCAAGCCTGATGATCTGAGTTCGATCCCTGGGAACCATGTGGTGAGAGAAGAATACTGTCTCCTGAAAGTACTGAGTACTGTGACGTATGAGCGGACTGATCTCTGTGAGTTCGAGGCCAGCCTGGTCTACGGAGTTCCAGGACAGCTTCCCGAGCTACATAGAAACCCTGTTTCGAAAAACAAAAACAAAACAAAATACTTAAAAGCAGGGTGACAAATACGTCAGCAAAGCATTAGGACATGAGTTCAATTCCCAGTACCTCTGTAAAATGCCAGGTATATTGCTGTTTGCCTATAATACCAGCTCTGAGGAGATAGGAACAGGTGAAACCTTGGCACTCACAGGCCACCCTGCCCAACACAGTTGGTTAGCCCCAGGTTCCAGTGAGAGACATCAGATCCCCTGGAACTGGAGTTACAGGCAGTTGTGACCTGCCACGTGGGTGATGGGAACTGAATCTGTGTCCTCCTTCGTGGAGCATTTTTGAAACAGGGTGATGGCACACACTTTTAATCCCAGCACTTGGGAGGCTGAGGCCAGTGGATCTCTATGAGTTCCAGGTCAGCCTGGTCTACAGAGAGAGTTCCAGGACAGCAAGGGCTACATAGTGAGTTTCAGGACAGCCAGAGTTGTTACACATAGAAACTTTGTCTCAAAAGCCAAAAGAAGAAAAAAAGAAAGGGGGGAAGGAAGGAAGAAAGGAAGGAAGGAAGGAAGGAAGG